CTTACTTGAGTAACAGTCCCCCATGATAGGGTTTGCCTTGTGTGTGTGGGGGATGTGTGCCTTCAAGTTGTTTCAGACTTATGGCAATCCTAAAGCACTGCTGGTCACTGCCTCCCTCCCTCCTTTCCTCCCCAAAGGCAGCTCGACAGGATCTGCCAGTCCCTCCCCCAGCTTCCTCTGCTGGGGCTGTTGGGCATCCCCCCCATCCCGGAGCCCCTGGACTGCCTGCTCCCCGGGAGGCTTAGGAGATCTGGAGCCCCAGGGATGCTGCCCAAGTTAGCACTGATGACGCATAGATGCGTTTCATATGATTGACATTTGGGAATAAACGGCTAGTGTGAACAACAAGCATGTAAAAAAAAAAAAGACAAGAATGCATGAAATTCTTGTAATAATGGGAACATAGTGGGAACTATGCATCAGTACGAATTGCTTCCATGACGTGGTGTCAATACAACTCGCAAAATGGATTAAAAGCAAGTGGAAATGAGCCCATAGAATTTCCCCTTTTCCCATGTGTGTCTCTTGGCTGGGCCAGAAGGCAGCAGAAAGATGTAATCGTTCCTTTTGAACTAGTGATACAGTGGTGGTATGCAACACAGAGAGAAACATGCCTCAATGGCAAAGCACCTGCTTTTATTCAGAAGGTCCCATATTAAACCCCTACCTTCCCCTAGTCAAAAAGCTCTATTTTTTCTGATCCTAATGCTCAGTTGTCCCTCAGTTTAGGAAAGGTTGGAGGGAGACTTTAATGAATAAATATGTGTTGATGCATGTGCACAGCATGATTAATAACTATAATATATAATTATCAGTATTATATTTTATTGTAAAATCAAAATGCCTCAGAGGAAGGCTGTCAGCTGCTAGACAGTTAATAGCACAGCACTGGAAATCAGGAAACATACTGAGCATCACCTTGTTGTACAAAATATATGGGACTTAGGTCTATAAGAAAAAATCACACAAGGACTTAGAGATGAATGAATGCAAGGATACAGATAACTCACAGAAACTTGGTTCACTCTTACTGGTTAATAATAATATTGGTTATACAATAAATGTTTGTTATTGTGTGCCTTCAAGTCAATTTTGACTTACAACAGTTATCCTAAATCTAAGGCAAACCTTTCAAGGGATTTTCTTGGCAAGATTTGTTCTGAGTGGGTTTGCCATTGCCTTCCTCTGAGGCATTCTGATTTTACCATAAAATTTTATATACTGATAATTATATATTTTAGTTGTTGTTAATCATGCTGTGCACATGCACAGACACATATTTATTGATTTGGGTTCCCCCCAACCTTTCCTAAACTCAGTACATAAGGATTTCCCAATTAAAATAGTTTTGTGTGTTCTTCCTCAACAATAAATTTTGCCCTCTTGAAACGAGTGTCTGGTCACACCCTTTTCACCACTCTCTGAAATTGTTCGGCCACATGTGTCCTGGTTTTCATCTGTGAAACGTTGGAGGGTATGAAAGTCTCTCCTTTTAACAGAGCTTGTTTCAAATCCCTATTTGATATTTGAATATTTGATATTTTAATGTTCTGTGGGACTCTTCTAAGAGAGACATGCTCAGGAAACATCTGGGGAGGGAGAGTTTGGTATGTGTTGTATATGAATCTTTCTGGATTTCAGCCAGAGATCTATGTCGATGTGTGACTGACTCTTGAGGAAAGCTTGGAAAAGTGATGGTGTGGTGTTTTTTAAACTACAAACCCCAGAATGGGTGGTGGCCTTGTTGGTTGCAGGATTCTAGGAAATGTAATCCAAAAAAGTAACTTGTGCAAATTCTGCCTTTGTGCTGTGCCTTTGCACTGTTCATGTCTGACTACTGATATAAATTCATCCTTAAAACCCCTAGTTTTGAAGGGCAAAAATGTAATTCTAATGCAGCCTTCCCTGACATTTGTGGTTCCTTCCAGATATTGTCCTTCATTTTTTCATCTCTTTTGTATAATTCTTCAACTTCTTTTTATTCCTTCCTGGTCTTGAATTATGTTATTTTTATTGTCATAGAATCTCGATCATCCCAGTCCTTGGTTGGAATTTTCCTTTGATTTTGTGGATCTTGTGAAATAGATTTCTTGTTCTTCCCTTTTTGTTGTTGTCTTCTATTTCTCTGCATTGATTGTCGTAGTAATTTTTTCTTTATCTTTCCACACAAGCTGTTGTCCTGTTACATTCATAATTCTTATTTTGTTCCTATCTCCCTTTTTTTCCTTCCCTTCTTTTCTTTATTGTTTGTAGTTTTTTCCTGTCATCCATGTTTTTTTCTCTTTCTTTTTGTTTATTGAAAATGTCTGTCTGTATTCTTCTTTTATTATGTCCCTGGCTTCAGACCATAGTTCCTCTGGTTCTCAATCTATTATACTTAGTAATGCAAATCTATTTCTTATGTTGTCAGTAAATTCTGTTGAGATATTATTTAGATCATATTTTCGTATAATCGCCGGTTTTGTTTTCTTCTTGATTCTTACTCTTATTTTTGATATGAGCAGTTTGTGATCTGTGCCACAGTCGGCACCTGGTCTAGTCTTGGCCACTAATATAGAGTTTTGCCATCTTTTGCTTTCAATTATATACCGTAGTCTAATTGATTTTTGTGTTGACCATCTGGTGATGTCCATGTGTATAGCCTTCTTTCTGGTTGTATGAAGAATGTGTTTGCAATGAATAGGTTATTGGCTTCCCAAAAATTTATCAGGCTCACCTACTTCATTTCTTTTGCCTAATCCAAATCTGCCTACTGTTTTTGATTCTTCTTTGCTTCCAACTTTTGCATTCCAATCTCCAATGATCAGCTTGACATCCTGTGTTGGTATGCTGTCAATTTCTTCCTGTACTCCTTCATTGGAAGTGTAAACGGTGATTAACCCCTGATTAACTTGCAATCGTGCAAATGGTTTTCACACACAAAGCACTGTTATTCCGTGCAGAATCCCTGGTTAACCTGCATTTGCGCACAAATGCATGAATGGTTTTCACATGACATTGAGATGAAACATGATTAAAGTGCCATTATTCCATGAAGAACCAGGCAAGAAACAACAGTAACTCATTTATGGAATTTTCCTGTGAATGACTTTTTGCTGTTTCTTGCCTGGTTATTCCCTGGTTCTTCACGAGATAATGCCACTTGCATTAATGTCATTATAAGCACGTTTTAATGCCAATTGCACAATTTTCATGGGTTAATCATTGTTTAAACTCCCAATTTCCCTCGTGTGATAAACTCCTTAGTCTTTGAATATGACCACGTTTTGTGATCAGTAGCTATGGGTCATTTGAGAGAGAACAGTGGGATATAAAGTAACATTATTTCTTCAGCCTTTGGAAAGTGTGAATGCATGGGGGGCAGGGGGATTAGAAATGCCTGTGCAAGGGTTGAAGCAATAATCTCCACTTCCCCCTGCAAAACCAAAGGGGTTTCTGAGTGGTGCTTCATCAACCCCATCCCCACTCTAATCGCACACTGAGGATGGTTCCCTAATTGCAGGCTCCAAGGAAGGGAGGCCAGGCCAGGCTGAAGGAAGCCACATGAGAAGCAACACCAGGGTAAAAGGAGGCTCTGGCTCAGTGTTCCCTCATCACAGACATCATGTGGCAGTGATTGAGATGTGGCTGGGAGACCTCATCAAAGCCAGGGCAGCACACAACAAGCTGCATAAGCAGAAGGCTGTGGGGATGAGGGGGGCAGCAGGAGGATGGGGAGAAGGGCAGGAGAGGATGACAAGACTGTGACAACAATAATAAAGTGCTTGGCATCAATGGGTTAAATTAGTAGCTGAGCAATATGTGCAAAAATGTATATAAAAATGTATATTGAAAGGAGAGTCAGAATGATACAGTGGTTAGAGCCCAAGACTATGCCTCTAGGGTTCAAATCCCCGCTCAGCCATGGAAACCTACTGAGTGACCTTGGGTGAGTCATGCTCTCTCAGCCTCAGAGGAAGGCAAGGGCAAACCCTTTCTAAACAAATCTTGCAAAGAAAACCTTGCAAAAGGGTCTCCATAAATCCGAAAGTTTAAACTTTTGAAAAATGGCGGGCAAAGCATTGCAGTGGAGATGTACTCAGATGGCGGGTTTTGGGGCAAAAGCTGTGCGATAAAACAAGGATGCAGCCTGAATTAAGCTTCAATTAGACTTCAATTCGGTAGGGGTAAACCCCTTTTTAAAGACATGTGATGATTTCCTAAGACACTCAAGTTAAAAACAGCATTAACAAACCACTTAAAACAATAAAATAAAAGCAAGGCATGTTGTTGTTGTTGTTTGTTTGTTTGTTTGTTGTTGTTGTTGTGTGCATCCAAGTTGTTTCCAACTTACGGTGACCCTAAGGTAAACCCTATCATGGGGTTTTCTGAGGCAACATAGTAACACCCAAATTACTCTTTAAATAAAAAAAATTACCTGCTGGTGTTGAAAGACAGCAGGTAAAGACAGAGGGGGCCAACCAGATCTCCTGGGGGAAGAGATCTTCATCTTGGGAGCAATTACCAAGAAGGTTCTCTCTCCTGTACTCACCAAAAATGTCTGGGATTTTGGTGGGACTGACAGGGCTGAAGCTTTATTTTCACAAAAGATCTTGTTATCTTCTCCCCTTCCTTCCATGCAACAGCAGCAACACTGTACAGATTATTATATCAATAGTAATGGGAGATGAAGAAAGGAGCCTAGGACTCAAACCAATCTGCAGCTGTGCCCTTACCCCCAGTTGATGCTCCAGTGTCAAACCCAGAATGTAGAAATAACCTCTTACATACCACACGTTACTTGTAATTAATTATTTCTTGCAGTAGCTAAGGCAGGAATGGACTTGCCCCACGATTGTGGCCCTCTCCACTATTTAAAGATAGAGATATACTACTATACAGTTTGTCTTATTGCCTTCAATTGACCTTCTGCTCTCATGTATAGGATTGCCAGAGTGAAAACTGGAGAGAGCTCCTGTACCCTCTGTAATGGTTGTGTAGAAGAGGGAATTTCAACAGGTGTTGATTGTCATGCATCCAACACTTTCTGAAATTTCCTCTTCTACACAACAATTAAAGGTAGAGCAGTCCTCCCCAATTCCTCCTCTGGCAATCCTGGTTAGAATACTGAGCCCAGTATTTTCTACTCTTCACTGGCAGCTGCTATTGTTTGGACCAGAAATGTATCTTTCCCATCAATTTATCCTTTCTCTTTTTTAAAAAAGAATGAACCTGGAAATTTCTACATGCACTGCACTTTGGTCCCTTCCCAAACCTGTCCTACTGCAGAATTTGCACCAAAGCCTAGTAACAGTACATCTCCCACAACCTCTGTGTGTGAACTTGCATGCCAGTGCTCATGCCTGGTCTGTACCCATGGAACAGACTTTCGAATGGCATTTATTAATCAAAGCCATTCTGTCCTGCTTTACAACATGGCATGCATGTATTCCTCAATACTACTAACAACTTGAGCTTAAAACAAACATTATATAGTGTTTTTTTCTGTCATACCATTCCTACTTCCTTTTCCTGGAACAGTAGTTACATCAAGGCTAGGTCACAGAGGATGCTGATGGGGGAAATGGTGCTGTTCCTGCCTGGCTAGAAGTCACATGATGGCTGTATTTTAAAAAACCTTACGGACATCCTTTGGCCTTTGGTTTCAGCAGCTAAATGACTCCCCCTTTTGTTCTTGTTCTTTCTCATATAAAACAAACTCCTGTTCCTTCTATGGTTCACACAAGCTTTGCTATTGTGTAATAGGGTTTTAGACGAACCCCAAATTCTAGGAAATGAAGTGGAATCTGTAATAAAGGAAATGGGGAAAAATAAATCACACGGAACAGATGATATCCCAATTGAACTGCTACAGTGCCTGCAGACAGATGCAACTTTAGTGATAACTGAAATACACCAGCAAATATGGAAAACAAAGTGGTGGCCAACAGATTGGAAATGCTTGATATATATACCAATTCACAAGAAAGGAGATACAAAAGACTGCAGCAACTATAGGACAATAGCACTAATCTCACATGCAAGCAAAATAATGCTCAAAATTCTCCAGTATAGACTCCAACCATACATAGAGAGAGAAATCCCAGAGGTACAAGTAGGATTCAGAAAAAGAAGGGGCACTAGGGACCACATTGCAAACATATGATGGCTAATGGAGTGCACTAAAGAATTCAAAAAATGAATCAGCATGTGCGTCATAGGCTACAGCAAAGCATTTGATTGTATAGATCACAAAAAACTATGAAATGCACTCAAAGACATGGGGGTGCCACTACATCTGATAGTCCCGATGAGGAATCTGTACAAAGGAAAAGAAGCCCTCATCAGAATAGAATTCAGGGAAACGGAGGGCTGATGCACATGGCCCATTTGGGGTGGCAGAGAGCTGCCCCAGGGAGCAGCGGATCGGGGCTGCGGCAACCCGATACCATGGCCCCAATCCTTCCTTTTGCCTCCCCTAAAAGAGTGGAAAAATGCTGCGCCTTTTAATAATAGTAATAATAAAATTTATTTATACCCCACCCCTCTGTCAACAATTGGGGTGGCTAACAACAGTTAAAATTCCATACAGTATAGCAAAAGACTGCCCTAAGAGCTGGAAGGATGTCCTGACGCCACACACTGTGTGTAAGGGCACGCAACGTCAGGACAGCATCGGGGTGGGGCTGGGGTGCCGGCATGTGGCTGCCCCGCCCCAACTCTACCCCCAGGCTGGCCGTTTGGGCTGGTCTGCAACAGCCCAAAGTGGTTCCCAATAGGCAAAGGGATGAGGCAAGGCTGTATCCTATCACCCTACTTGTTTAACTTATATACTGAAAACATCATTAAAAAAGCAGAATTAGAATCAGAAAAAGGAGGAGTTAAGCTGAGAGAAAACAACAATAACAACTTAAGATATGCGGACAACACCATAATATTAGCAGTAGACATTCAGGAATTGGAACAGTTAATAAGGAAGGTCAAAGATAATAATAATAATAATTTTTATTTTTATACCGCCCATTGGTAGTCCAATCCGGGTGGTTTACAGCATAAAAAATTAGTATACAACATAAAACAACATTTTCCCTCCCACTTAGGCTAGACCCGATGGAGATGGGCCTGCATCTTCCCTCCAGATGACATCGGATGGAGTGGAGGGAGGGCTCTTCTACTTAGGCTAGGCCCGATGGAGATGAAAGTGCAAAGGCATGTCTGATACTGAACATAAAGAAAACAAAAATAATGACCACATAAGAAATGCACAAATTCAATCTAGACAATGAGGAAATTGAAATAGTTA